CCTCAGAGTTACGAACACCTCAGGAATGGATGTTGTTCGTAATTCTGAAATGTTTGCAACTGCAAACAAAATGTTAAGGTTGTTCTTTCAAAAGTTTACAACTGAACATTGACTTAATGTTATTCTAAATAAACCATCTTCCCGTCCCTCATCTGACTTAAAATGTGGAATCTCCATCACTGGAGATATTTAAGAGCAGATTGGATAGACATCTATCAGGGATTATCTAAACAGTGTTTGGTCCTGTTGTGAGGACAGGGGACTGGACTTGATGACCTCTTGAGGTCCCTTCCAGTTCTAGGATTCTAGGATTCATCTATAATTAATAGAGTTTTGAAACTTTATCATGCAGAAGATAAAATCTGCTTTTAACCATTTTAATTCAAATGAAACAAGCAGAGTAACCATTTTCTGTTCAAATCTTTTTTTAATCCCTCCCCTGCCATTTTCACAGTTTACATTTAACACAGCACTTTACTTTATTTGCCTTTTTTATTGTCTCTGCTGCTGGCTGGTTGCATACTTCCAGTTCCAAATGAGATGGGTGGTTAGCTGCTCAGTTCATAACTCTGGTGTTCATAACTCTGAGGTTCTATTTATGTTACAATGCAGGTGTGAACCTTTAGTACACACCAGCAGGGACCACACAGACCAATTAATGTGCAATACAATAGTACAATTTAAAAAGCACATCCCGATAGTCCCTATTACTGTTCCATGTAGATATAAACCAGAGAGCAGCAATATTGCCCATATAATAACAAACTTTTCTGGGAAAGGGGTGAAGTCAACTCAAATTGAGTAACCATTTCTGGTATTTTTTTCAGTGTTTATTGAATCAACACATTTTTTACCAAGATTGGGATATTTTATTGGTGCTTAAATACAAAAATCAGAAGTCCTGTCTATAAAAATGGTTGATAATAACAAGAGATCAGGAATTTCTGCAGAACCCCACCACCACCAACACCAAGGTGGACATAGTAAACAAAACCTCTGCAAGGGGAATAGGCCCACTGGAATAATTCCATGTCTATTTTTAAACACTGGAGAGTTGCTCAGATAGTATAGTGTCAGAGATGCCATATAAATACCAAGATAAAAGAACAGATCAGATTATAAGGAGGTTCAGACTGTGGAGCCCAGCGTCCCCACAGATGTACACAGATCTCTGGAGTTCCACTACATGCTAAGAATGCCTAGACTGCGTGGATTCACTGCTGTGGCTTCCCTCAACATCTGATGCTCCTCCAAAATGCCATTTTGGAGGAGTTCCCAGCGTGGAGATGGCACTATTGCATTGATTGCTTGTTGCCAGGGTGAGGGAGCTTGGCATTCCCTGCTCACCACCCTCTCCATATATATGGATCTCTGGATTGAGAGAGAGATCATCACAGGTTTGGAGCAGGGGAGCGAGGAAGGATGAAAAACAAAACCATAGAATGACTTTACTTCCATGTAGCTATGTCTTGACTGCAGGCTTCTTTTGGAAGAAGCTTTTCTGGAAGAGATCTTCCAAAAAAACTTCTTCCAAAAGAGAGCATCCACACTGCAAAAGTGCATCGAAAAAGCAATCTGCTTTTTCGACAGATAGCATCCACACTGAATGGACTCTATCTCACACGTAAGCTCTGATTACTATGGGCGGAATGACCCCCACAGCACCTATGCTTTTTCCTCTTTCCTATTCTTGCGAAAGAACTCCTTCTTTCCCATCCACACACGCCTTTTTCCAAAAGAGCTCTTGGAAAAAGGCTTTTTCCTCATAGAAAGAGGTTTACCAATGTCAGAAAAAACGCTCTGTTCTTTCAATTTTCCTTTGAAAGAATGCAATTGCATTGTGGACATAATTGAAGGGTTTTTTTTTTTAAATGGCTGTTTTTTCAAAAAAAACAAACAAAACCCTCTGTAGTATAGACATACCTGTAAGAGGGGAAGATCCTCCTGTCTAGCAATACCAACTTATTTATATGAGGCTTAGAAATGAATAATTATAATGGAAATCTTGAGTGTCTTGCACACAGCAGTTCCAGTGAGTGTCACCAGACGGGGAGATATTTAACGCTAAATCAAATGTGGACATTAATCTTGTTTAAGTTTGGATAGAATCTGACTGTTGTTTCTCTTCCAACATTTTCCTATTATTTATATATGAAATTAGTTATTTCCTATAGTGCCCAATCTAGGGGAACATATTTCTATGACTAATTTTTAAAAAGAAGACTATATTCCCTTCTGAGGGTGGAGTTCAGTGTAAACGACAACAAATATTAAAAGAAAACTGTATTTGTGCATTAGGAAATTGACAGTAACTGCAATTTTTTTTCATGATCAATGAAGAAATGTATAGTACATGTTCCAAATCATGGAACAGAAGTATATGTAATAGAACCCAAACATTCTCTCTTGATTCATTTCACTTTATCCAGCATTTAGTGATTTGAAGAAACAATTTTATGATATTTGGTGGTTGACCAACTGCACCCAACTTCAAACACGACCGATGTTTATTTTATGTATGTCACTTAATGGGTCTTAGTAGTGTGGTATTTTCTTAGGAAAATAATATACATGCTACCATTTTAAAGATTCCTGGGTAAAAAGTAATATTTAATGCACATTTTAAAAATCTATAATGAATATAACTTAAGGCTCTCTGGAAGTCTAATAGCTTTTAGACTTCACTTAAAATTTCTTAAGCATTTTTTTTTCAAATTTAGAATTTAAAACACAGCAGAAATGCAATCCTTAACTAGCAAAAAAAAAAATTTTTTTTCCAAGGAACTTTAATTTCTCTGCATTACCATTCTTTATTTTATGTAAAGAACTAGCTCCCAAATGGCCAAGACTTCACATTCAGAGAGAATTGTTGTAAGGAGTTCAAGAACTCTGAGCACTATTTGTGCGTTTAAAGGTCTCAGCTAACAAGCAAGAGGAGAGGCTGCTGGAAATGCTTACAGATGTCTGGATTTTACAAGCTTTTTTTGTAAAGTGCTTTAGTCTAACATTATTTATTGTTTATGGAAGTTGTTTGTCACTTAAGACATGGAGTGAACCCTCCCCGAAATGAAAGAATCAAGTTTCTATCCATTATTTCATTTCTGATTGTTTTTCTTTGTAATAGGTGGGAAAGTGGATCCAGGATAAAAGTCCTGCCCAAGACAAGACTCCAAACTGAAGACTCCAATTATCTATAAATCACTTGTCTTTCCTGCAGAGAGAGAAAGAAAAGAAAGGGGGAGGAGAAAGAGAGAAAGACACAGACAGAAAAACAGATACTGAAGACATGCCAAATAAAATACTAAAGATACCTGTTCTATACCAAACTTCTTTCTTCAAGGGCAATCACAAGTTACCTGATATTTCAAATTCTTGTAAAACATTTTTGTTGTTGCTTTAATACTGAAAAATGAACTCTTATGTCAACCATTAGACTAGAATCTGTCACATCTCACATACTTCTGAGAATATGGGCATTTTCATTCTAGATTATTAGAGTAATGTTCCTTTGTAATAGTTTCTAACAAAAAAGAGGCACATGGCCACTCACAACTTTGCATTATACTTCAGAAAGATTTTAAACCAATTTCAAAGTTGCCTAAAGTTGAGAAAGGAACACACAATTACTACACAAATTGACGTGTACAAAGAATACTCACAGTACCTGACACCCATTTTATGATACATGAAGTAGTAATTTTAACCAGTAAATAACATTCATGAAAAATATTTGCTCTGTAGCATCATCCTTACAATGACACATCAGCCACCCTCAAACACCCACTTACTTTTTAATTATCATTTAAATTACCATCTGGATAATTATAAGTAAGCAAATATATGCCCTCTTAATTTGTATATCTAATTTTCATTAAAAAATATGAAGTCTAAAGTAGTTGATATTCTGCTCAATCAGTCTTTTAAAATAAGGAATAACTAAAAAATTAGAGAATAGATTAATTTTGTTACTAGCTTTAAAAAAAGAAAAACAAAAAGCTTTTAAAAAGATAATTGGAAAGAAAATATTACAATGGATTGGCTAACATGAGTTTCTTATAAGCGCTAAGACACCTGAAGGTGCATTTCTAGTGGAAAATGTTATCACCTTTTTCTAATGTCAAGGTATTTTCTATTCCTATTAAATTACTCGGTAATTAGAAATAAAGTCTTAACCATTGCAATCTGTTTATACAATGTACATTTGATATTTCTCCAGCATAAATGAAAACATGCTTCAGTTCAAGATTCTAAAGGTATAAAGATTCAATACATAAAAACAAATTTAAAAACTGAACTTGCCTTTACAAGCAACTGATCTAAAAGCCTGTTTTAGCTTCTGGAAACCATTCAATTCTATAATGTAATATAAAAATCCTAAGTATGTATTTACAGTAATCCAGCTGGATAATTCGTAACCGTACTTAATGAAAATATTATATGACACTATATGTCTTACATGTTAAAGATAATTTGTCCTCTAAACAATGTCATTTCAAGGGCGTACTCAGATATTAAGGAAGTTAGTCAAGAGACCTGTTTCAAGGCTGTAACAACCTGGTAGGATTAAGAGCCCTCCAGGAACTGTAAAAAAAAGTCCCAAGGGTACATGGTCCATTTCAAGAAAGAAAACATTTTTGTTTTCTGATTGAGAAGTATGTACAATACTTTCTTTGATTTCCATCAGGAGTGTCTGAAATGTATAAGGGAAACACTGACTACTATACTAAAAATAAAACTGATCAGTTTTGTGGAAAATATTTAAAGAAGCACATAAATGGTACAGCCAACCTCAGCAAATCTCATTTGCTTTTCTATTATCCTTTGGCTTCCCAGATGGGTTACAGGGCTACAACAATCCATTTCCTTTATTAGTGTTTCAAGGCAGTTTTTTATCTCGGCACTGAAGACGGTTAGGGCAGATTGGAACCGATTTAAAGCAAAATCCCTCTTCTGGAGGGACAGCCGTGAGCTCCCTGCCAGAAGAAATGAACACAACTTACCTTGGTGTATTTGATTTCAAGGTTGAGAGTGGGAGAAGGCAGCAGATGCAGAGATGCCATCAGAGCGGCAGGGTCTGCCTTCACCTCTCCTGGCATCTCAATTTTACTGGAAGTCATAGTCTTGGGGGGTTTTATAGTACAAACGTTCTCCCTTTATCTGCAGCTACACCCCAACAGACAGCCCGTCCCTACAGATACACGGACAGCTACACCCCAACAGACAGCCCGTCCCTACAGATACACGGACAGCTACACCCCAACAGACAGCCCGTCCCTACAGATACACGGACAGCTACACCCCAACAGACAGCCCGTCCCTACAGATACACGGACAGCTACACCCCAACAGACAGCCCGTCCCTACAGATACACGGACAGCTACACCCCGACAGACAGCCCGTCCCTACTGATACACGGACAGATACACACCGACAGACAGCCCGCCCCCACAGAGAGACACGGACAGCTACACCCCGACAGACAGCCCGTCCCTACAGATACACGGACAGCTACACCCCAACAGACAGCCCGTCCCTACAGATACACGGACAGCTACACCCCAACAGACAGCCCGTCCCTACAGATACACGGACAGCTACACCCCAACAGACAGCCCGTCCCTACAGATACACGGACAGCTACACCCCAACAGACAGCCCGTCCCTACAGATACACGGACAGCTACACCCCAACAGACAGCCCGTCCCTACAGATACACGGACAGCTACACCCCAACAGACAGCCCGTCCCTACAGATACACGGACAGCTACACCCCAACAGACAGCCCGTCCCTACAGATACACGGACAGCTACACCCCAACAGACAGCCCGTCCCTACAGATACACGGACAGCTACACCCCAACAGACAGCCCGTCCCTACAGATACACGGACAGCTACACCCCAACAGACAGCCCGTCCCTACAGATACACGGACAGCTACACCCCAACAGACAGCCCGTCCCTACAGATACACGGACAGCTACACCCCAACAGACAGCCCGTCCCTACAGATACACGGACAGCTACACCCCAACAGACAGCCCGTCCCTACAGATACACGGACAGCTACACCCCAACAGACAGCCCGTCCCTACAGATACACGGACAGCTACACCCCAACAGACAGCCCGTCCCTACAGATACACGGACAGCTACACCCCGACAGACAGCCCGTCCCTACTGATACACGGAAAGCTACACCCCGACAGACAGCCCGACCCTACAGATACACGGACAGTTACACCCCGACAGATACACGGACAGCTACACCCCGACAGACAGCCCATCCCTACAGATACACGGACAGCTACACCCCAACAGACAGCCCGTCCCTACAGATACACGGACAGCTACACCCCAACAGACAGCCCGTCCCTACAGATACACGGACAGCTACACCCCAACAGACAGCCCGTCCCTACAGATACACGGACAGCTACACCCCGACAGACAGCCCGTCCCTACAGATACACGGACAGCTACACCCCGACGGACAGCCCGCCCCCACAGGGAGACACGGACAGCTACACCCAGACAGCCGCCCCTACAGATACACGGACAGATACACCCGGACAGATCCACACAGATATACACCCACATCCACCCGGATACACACCCAGATATAGCCCGACAGAGAGTCCCACGCGGATATACATCCACATTACACCCCGAAAGACAGCCTCTCTCTCCCCACTCCCACTGAGAGATTAGGACAGATACACTCAGAGCTCCACACGCGCATATACACAGATATGTCTCAACAGACAGCTTTCTCATGCACAGAGATACACACAGACCCAGGGTATGTCTACACTACCCCGCTAGTTCGAACTAGCGGGGTAATGTATGCATACCGCACTTGCTAATGAAGCCCGGGATTTGAATTTCCCGGGCTTCATTAGCATAAGCGGGGAGCCGCCATTTTTAAATCCCCGCTGCTTCGAACCCCGTGTAGCGCGGCTACACGGGGCTCGAACTAGGTAGTTCGGACTAGGGTCCTATTCCGAACTACCGGTACACCTCGTTTCACGAGGAGTAACGGTAGTTCGGAATAGGACCCTAGTCCGAACTACCTAGTTCGAGCCCCGTGTAGCCGCGCTACACGGGGTTCGAAGCAGCGGGGATTTAAAAATGGTGGCTCCCCGCTTATGCTAATGAAGCCCGGGAAATTCAAATCCCGGGCTTCATTAGCAAGTGCAGTATGCATACATTACCCCGCTAGTTCGAACTAGCGGGGTAGTGTAGACATACCCCCAGAGACATACGCACACATACACAGTGCATACCGAGATTCATACACTGTTTTTATATACACGGACACAAAAGTATACCAGGAGCACAGCAAATACACACACCGACACAGATTATGTTTCCACATTAGGAAAATACAGGGGAATTTGATACCAGAGTAGATGCTGGCTAGTCCTGCCTCTTTGCTAGGACACAGCCATCTCCCCCTCCCCCCTAGTCCTGCCCTTAGCAAAGTTGGGTAGCACTTCCACTCCCAATGGAAGAGCCAAGGTGGGTGAGCTAATGGGCTTTATAAATCCAAGTCCTATTGGGGAGAGAGATAAGCTTAGAGCTTACACACAGCTCCTTCTGTGGAAGCTGGGAAACTTTTGTCTGTTGCCAACAGGAATTGGACCAACATGTTACCTCACCCATCTTGTCCCTCTAACATCCTGGGACCAACATGGGTAGCAACAGGACACACTCCCAAAGTTTCTTTAGAAGTTTCTGGATGGGGATCTGCTCCCCTTGCCCAGCATAACACACCCTGGGGGTTTGCTTGCACAGCCCAACTTTGTTCTTTTCTGCCCTTCAAGGGATCTAACCAAACAAATCTCCACTTTCCCATCATATATTTCTGCAGAGGGACACTGCCTCTTCTTGCATTGGTCTCATAGGCTGCTGCAATTTGGGAATCAGAGTTTTAAAAACACATCCTGGTGTTTTTGCCCCTTCTATACCGCTCTCAGCTTTATTCTCAGCATGTCCCAGTTTTCTCAGAATCGCTTAGCTTTTTGCAGCAACTTACATCAAAGAGGCTGTGTCTCAGGGTGTGACAATGATGAATGTAAACCAAATATCCCCCAAAGAAAGGGTGGCAGCAGATACCTGGTTATATGCAGCAGCATCTTCTGTTAGCCTGCTGCCCTCTGCTGGGCCATGTAGCTCATATCCATAGTCAGCTTCTCCCCTCCCTTCCCCCCCCCCCCCCCCCCCCAAGCAGAACAGTTTTAGTCTGTGAATTCAGTCAGTCTTGAAGACAAATAATAGAAATCAAAGCAACCAGGAAAACAGCAGGTTATTCTTTTTGTTGAGTTATTTAAGGATAAACAAGAGAATCTGGGGTAATTCTGGTTTTGTTACATGGACCCTTTTGCGAAGTCCACAAATTCTTGCTCCTCTGTGTTTTACAAACATGGCCACAGTTCATGGACAGTACAAATATAGAGTGTTGAAGGGTGTGTGTAAGGATAGAAGGTGAACTTCACTCCTCTGCAAAGGGCTAGCAAGAGTTAAGCATTTAAGTCACATGAGGACTAACTTGGGACATAAGTGGTGTATAGGCAACAGTGCTGATCTGTGAGTTCATACACAGTAGTGGTTTTCAGTAGTGAAAAAGGAAGGTACAAATATTTGTATAACTTCTTTCTTTCTTCCCCCGGCCAGTGAAGATGATGTCATAATTTTCTGGTTTTATGGGTAGGCAGGACTGTCAAGCTGTGAGTGAGATTTCAAAAATTAAGCAGTGCAATTTATAATGCCACACTGAAAACACAGAGCCAGCGTGTTAGCATATCAGTGATATATATTTATCAACTGCCTTAAAATGAATCAAATGAGGGAATCTCCCCTCATCCTCACAAGGGTTTGTATGTAAGGGGTTATTGTCAAAAATTTGAGAGATGGCACCTATGTGGCTTTTTCATTCTTAAGCAATACAGGCTGCTAGAGATTGAGTCAGAAGATTTCATTCCACTACACACTGGGGCTATGTCTACTCTCATGGCTTCTTGTACAAGTACAGCCATTCTTGTGCAAGAATCTGCAGAGCGTCCACACTGCCCACCCGCTCTTGCGCAAGGAAATTTACAGTACTGCGTGGTAAGAGAGGGCTCCTTGCGCAAGAGTTACGCTCTTTTTTATCAGGTGTAAGCCCTGTTGCGCATGAGCTCTTGCGCAAGAGGGCAGTGTGGACGCTGGGCAGGGATTTCTTGAGCAAGAAAGCCCTATGGCTAAAATGGCCATCAGAGCTTTCTTGTGCAGGAGAGTGTCCACACTGCCATGGGAACTCTTGCACAAAAGCACTGCACGCACATGGCAGCGTGGACATTTTCTTGCGCAAGACGTCTTGCACAAGAACCCTTGCGCAAGATATTCTTGCACAAGAAGCCGCCAATGTAGACATAGCCTAAGGGTATGTTGATACTTGCACCCTCTTTTGAGAGAGGGATGCAAATGAAGACATTTGAAATTGCAAATGAAGCCGGGATTTAAATATCCTGTGCTTCATTTGCATATTCACATTATGGTGCTATTTCAAAATAGCGCTAGTTTGAAATAACAGATGCTGTGAGGTTTCCAGTTATTTCAAGAAAAGGGTTTTCTATCAAAATAACCGCATCTTAACAGCGTTTGTTATTTCAAAATAGCACCATAACTCGAATACGCAAATGAAGCACGGGATATTTAAATCCTGGCTTCATTTGCAATTTCAAATGTCTTTATTTGCATCCCCCTCTCGAAAGAGGGTGCAGGTGTAGACGTACCCTAATTGAAGTTGCCCAGTTTCCTCCAGCTGCTTGGCAGTACAGATCCCGTGCCCCTTGTTTCTAGAGGCTCCCCTTACTATCTCACATGTCCCAGAGACCAGCCACTCAGTGAGCTGCAAGGCTGAATACTAGCAATATTTTTTATGTGGATTCCCCCAAAGGATTTGAGAGGGTGATGATTGGCACCTCCTGTGGAGCCCACTGCCCATGAACAGAGAGCTGAATAGGGCTCCCAAGACAAGAGGAGGCAAATCTGTATTCACTCTTCTTGCCAGCTAGGGTCTACAGTGGTTTATTGCCTCATACGTGCAATGGAAATTATTTGAGCCTAAAACCAAGTGTGATTGTGTTCTCACTGGAGTGAATGGCAGCT